AGATTAGCGAATGTTCATGCACAAAAGTTTGTGAGAAGCCATGAATTAAAGTTTTTCAATTGCACTGTCAGTGTTATATTCTTCAGAGCACGCAAGCTTTGTTCACGACGACAATGTTGCACCTGTCAAGATGCCACACTATCGACATGACCTGTTACCTTTAGCGTACCTTTAAGGTGTTGAAGTATGTAATGAGTAAGTAAAGTAGACGATACAAAGAAACAAGCGTGGTTACCTTTCTCTGCCTCTTGCTGCTTGACAAGCTCAATCCGAGCAAGTTCCCGTTGCTTCGCTTCCCGCTGAAGCTTTTGCTCCTTGGCCGCGTCGTACTTCACTCCTAAAGAAAAATGATAATGCCAGAAGACAATCATGACAGGTAACATTTTGCAACTTTTCTTTATGTTGCCAGGATCATTGAAAATAATACACACTCCAAGAAAGTAGCTTTTCCCCTCTTCACAAAGGATTTACTGAGTGCAAAAGCAGGTCAAATGCAAAAGGACACTATTGGAATGTTCTACCAATGTGCAAAAGATGAGCTGTCAACATTTACATTAATAAATGTTTCGATTTTTTTTACTCTCATGCGCAGTGGATGAATCGTGAAATCAAAGGACTTACCTGACTTTGGAACTACCACCATGTAGATGCCTTCCACTGCCGCAGAATAAGTAGAGCTGTACAATGACTGCCATGGTATCTTCAACGTGAGCTTTTCTAAAAAAAGGAGTGAGAAGCTAATAAGTTCGACATATGCTACCTTCACTGCAACATCACTTTCATTAAAAAAGCATTGCTACATCATTATTTTTTTTGCTAGAAACATACAGCAGCATACATCATGCATTAACTTGCTGCTTATGTTGTATTCATTATAAAACAGGGAGTTCTACGGGCACTTTATACTGCCTGATCTTTAATTCCTGAAAATGCATGCTTGTATGTGTAGAAGCTTACGCTGGTTGGTTTATGATGGCGAATATTCCCAGCACACAAACATTAGAAGAGAGCGGTGTACAGAAAGTGCCCTTTTCTACTTTTTCATTTTTTTTGCAATGTTTCTGTGCTGCGAATATTCGGTATCGTACACCTCTGTGACGTTGCAAAGTACTCCCAATTACTGAAGCATTACAAATGAGCCTACACCTGCATAAGACATAAGCTAATTAGAGTGTCTGAAACACTGACACCGTAAGACATGTTTAGTAAAGTGCGGCATACCTATGTGACCATACGCAACACGGAAAGGTAGATCGAGATCATCAATGGCACTCTGCTTGATGTCCAGATCTTTCAAATTGATGTCTCCTGCATGAAGACAGACACAAGAATTACTTCTGCTGCTCTGAATGTGTTCTCCACTATGGCAAAAGAACGATGAAAAAAAGGTGGTGCTCAGTCGAAACTCTGCGCCATTCAAGCAAAACAGTTCCCTTAGCAGTGGTTCTGTTGAAAAATGCCTCTGCAAGTAAGGGTAATTGCAGAAGAATGGAAAGTCAGGCTAGTTGGAATGCTCAAATGATTGACGCACCGCTACAGACAAAGACGAAAGTATGTAGGACAAAACGGTAGATGTATTAAGGCTTGTTTAAAAGAGCATAATCACTCCTTGATAGAGCCAAACACATCCCATTAGCATCGCGTTATTGTGGCTGCTTTCCATTGATTGTTGATACGGAAAAGCTTTCTTGGCAAAGCAGCAAATTAACCCATGAAGTATCGAGGCTTTTCACATTAGGAGAATGGGAGAAGCATATGCGAGTTTTTTGACAGAGAAGTTTGTTTATCTCCTTGGCTCATGTAATATAAAGTGACATGTTTGTATTTTCTTAAGGATGCACATGTTTTCTTGCTAAATAATTTGCTTTACTGTCTTACTTATGAGCATGCTTGTATGCACAACATTGTTTCCCACTTTTTGTTTTTTGTAATAAATCTTTGAGTTGTGAGACAGCGCTCGTCCTGTGCGCTCTGTGTCCCTTCATCTTCGTCAGTCATGCAAGTAAGGGGAATCTTGAAAGTGCCGCAAACAGAGGCAAGGCAACGATGTATAGGAGGATACACCAGAGAGAAGAGTTAGGCTCAAAAGAGGAAGGAAAAAAGTAGAATAAAAGGGGCCTGAGCTAGTCGGTACACATTCACGTTAAAAGAGTGGGCACGCAAACACCGACACAAGAAAAGTCAAGGCAATGCAACACGCCGACTAACAACTTCAAACACGCACAGCCGTGAAAAGAAAGTATGCACAAAAGCTTATCTGTGTATGCCCAGGCAAGAAGCGATACCTGTTGATCCAGCATACATGGGAGTCTACGTGATATGCAATGAATATGCAGTTTATGTACAGACACGGGTAGGATCTGAACCACAATTTTTGAATTACATATCCGATGCACAACTAACGGAGCTAGGATGGAGGGCACTCCACCGTTCAGATCGCTGGGCGTTTCTCTACATGTAATCCTCGAAAGTATTAGCGCAATGCAAAGGTTGTAGGTCTATATCCTGCTATGACAAAGAGAGCGCGTTCATACACTGAAATTCCCTCCAACGTGCTACACCTTAAAGTTTTCCTTGGTGAAATCATCCATTAGATTCATGTGGCTGTTTCAAACAAAGATACATATAGGAGTGCACATTCAAACAGTCATAGTCATTTACACTTTGTGGTGCTATGAAAGTCCCAATATGTACTATTTCATCATGAAACACACTTTACAACACTTTTTCAAGCCATGTGATATAGATATATCAATAGAATGAAGTGATACAGGCATGATGCACTGAAAAAGCATGGTGTCAATGGAGCATACACATCTTTATCAGCACCTCAAGCTTAATGGATAAGCAAAAGCAGATCTTATGACCCAAGCATTTGTTGATTACAGATGCTTGGGTCAAAAGCAGGCTTGGCAGCTCTAACACCTACTGCTCCACACGTGCTAATAATAATGCTCTCTGCAGTACTTTAGCCATGAAAATTATATTTTTGTTAACATTTGCACCACTATTATGTAGCGCTTAACTATGTTACTCAATGACAACCTTTTATTATAGGCACCCTATAGGAAGCACGACCGCAAGTGCATGCATCGTAGGATGTAGCCTGAAAAGTATGCCTAGTTTGCAGACCAGGCGTTAACACAGCTGCTGTGAAAATGCGCTAGGAGGAGCTAGTAAAATATGATGCAAAAAAATAAAAAATAGGGCGCACAGCAGGTGGACGGTAGAGGCACAATGAATACATGCTGCAAGGGTGTGTGTGGGTTACGAATATAAAAGCAGTCATAACCAGGAAGGAAGAGGGGGGCGTGTGAGAACGGTGTAGTTGGGTGCGCGATATAGATTGAGCGCAAATGAAGCAAAGGTGTGGCGTATATATATGTGTGATGTCTGATATAGTGATTACGACTCGAAAGCTAAACAATGCTGATAACGTACGCGTGCCAAGCACCATTACGAATACAGCCAGCATTGACAGATGCATACAGGTACAGAACGTTAGCCGACCTACAAAAAAAGAAAACCGCTGTCAACCTCAGCGACGTGAGCCGTAGCGTTGCTAATCAAAGTGGATGAAGATCACGCGTCATCGACATTGAGCTTCGTCAGATATTGTCTCTGTTGCCGACATACGGAGTTGGTAACGTCACGCTCCACGCAAAGCATACTGCAAGTGGTATTTGACGTTATGCGTGCAGATGTCAGTTCAACTCTACGCGCTCACGCAATGAATGAGCAACGTTCTATTGGTATGAAAGTGATTTCAAATGCGATCGTTCGTGTCACCGCTCAGACCCGCGGAAGCATCAACAAGACGCAAGCAGCTATTCGCAAAGAGTCGACTCGTACTCGAAGCAGCATCGAGTCTCACCTCCCCATATTCCTAGCTTGAGCTGGGACGTGTCCAAGTTCTCGATGTAGTCTCCGAGAACGTAGTTCACGAGCTCGACGGCCACCGACTCGAAAACCATCGTGTGACGCCGGTTGGGCAAGCGTGGCCGGAATGATCCTTAGCGAGGAGAAATCGTGGTCCCGACGACAAGGCTTGTTTCGTTCCACATGTCATGCAGCGAGCGTCGAACGCTAACAGCTCGCACCGAATTCGCGTTTCTTCTTCGACTCCTCGCGCAGGCAACACCCTCACGTGCTGCTCGCTCGCTCTCCTCAAAGTGGAGCGGATGTGCGCGCGCCGTCACGCCCCCTCTTGGGACGAGATGGGCAACAATGCAGAGGCGAGAAAAAGAACAGTGAATAGCGGTGAAATAAGTGAAGCGTCGTCCAAAGAGCATTCGTCGCAGCGGCCGAGTCGCCTCACGCTCGCCTTCATCCACTGCTGGGATTATCTCCGCAGACTGTACCGAAGAACAAGCACTGGCTGATAGGCACGCTTCACTGGTTTCTCGATCTGCATCCGTGCTGAAACAATGTGAAGACTCGAGTGCTCACTGTGTTTTTGTTTTTTTCTGTCCTTGAGCTGCTCTTTGGAAACTTGATGTAGGAGGAAACAGGCTGGTTATGGAACATTTTATTACGACCACCAACACGAACGCTCAAAACCTTTCTGTCCCCGCTTCTGCGTGGATTTCTTCCCCATTTTCTCCCTCGGTTTTCTTGTAGATTTTTTTGTGGCCACCGCGCGTCGAAAATTTTGGGGAACAGGCGAGCGCTCGAATGATTGAAAAGATAGTTTAGTAAGGACTCATTCAAGCGGGATCTCACAGTGGGTCATTTTGAAATAAACAAAAAAGAGAGAGAGTGCGAACCTAGCGCAATGTGACCACAGCTAAGGCATAATGCGAGATTCCGCATGAAATATTGACGTTACGAGAAAAAGAGCGAAACAAATGTATGTACATATGTGTACAAATGCTAATACGAGAAATAAAAACGTTTTTCTTTTTCTTGTTCATACTTTCTCGATGCCGAGGAATTCGATTGGTTAACTGTGTCACGTGACATCAAGTACGTCTTCAATGGAATAACGCTGCGCTCGTTTGGTTGGCTGGTTTTGGTGCTCGGTGTGTCCAGGAAAAGTGGTCGTCGTGGTTGTGGCGGTCCGAATCTGCGGAGGTGGCACACTTGGAAACGGCTCTGCGAAGATGTAAATGCGTTCATAAAGCCTGACGGTGCACCAAAGGTATTTTCCCCGTTCCATCGTGCTTAGGAGACGCTGAACTTCGTATTCGTAAGCTGCGCTCGCGCTTAGCGCGACGCGATGCCAGGAGGGCTTCGCCCGTTCCGGAGTCTCGATCGGGGCTCCAGAGACTTCCAAGCATCGAGAAATCGCGGGTTTTATTAGCTACCTATACGGACAGTATTTCTGAGCTGGTCTTGCGGAGTATTTGCGTTCAAATATTCTCGAGATAAATGAAACGCGTGATTGCGTTTTTGGTGACCCAGTGCAAGTTTTCAGACTGTAGGTTTCCCGCTTCTCGAGGTCCCTGGAAGTTTCCAACGAACTGACCTTCGAAGCAAAGGACCGTACTGCTGCCTTAGCGTAGAAGAGAAAAATGGGAAAATTATGAAAGTGGCTGCAGTTTTTATCCGAAGTCTAATGTCAGGTATCTTTGTGCGGCATAAGCTCGGCAGCCGAACAAAGGGAGCCGATTTTGTCAGGGGGTCGCCTATATCTCATCAGATTGGTAGGTTTGTTAGTGAAACTACAATGAGTAGCCGATGAGAGCTGCTCTCAGTTTTCTTTAAAGTAATAATTCTCAATGTGTGCGCAAAATTTTCTGTGAAACGCGAGTCTGAATTGTTTCGTGTGTCCCCGTTTTTCGTTTCTGAACGTCAGCTAGCCTGCGATAAAATTAGAACAGGAATAGCTTCCCGGTATTATAATACGCTTCCTGGCCTGTATGTACACGTGAAAGTTGTTAACCTGTTTTTCCATAATCTGATTTCTTTATTTGTATTGCACTGTGTCAAAAAAAAAAAAACGCGTCAAAGCACCGGAGCTGTGGTTCCTAGGTAGGTTATCGATCAGCCACCTCCGCTATTCAGATACAAGCGTTTATTCGGTATGCGCAGTAAACACTCATTCGCGCTCGCTATATCTTATAACGCTAAGCTAATCGTATCCCTAATCGCAAAATTACAAGACTACGATATCGTCAGCCCTGCTGCTGGGGTTCTTGATTCGATCCTCTTACGTAGTAGTGGCGACGTAACGCTGCTCTTTGTTCTACTTCTTACGAGATCGTCGCGTTCGCTCGGATAAAAAAAATTACTTTATTGTTGGATAATCCAGGACATAGCCTCATGTGCACATTTGGTATTGCAGCAAATGAAATTAATTTTCCTAATTTTTTTCACTTGAAGTAAGGCAAAGGTATAATTCACTCGTTGCTCGGACCATTTACGATCGGGACCGGACCGGATTGAAATTCTTGATCGTAATTTGATCGCCAGCATAGCAATTCGACTGCAGTCATACTCGATCACGATCGAAAATACCGGATACACTGCTGTGTGCTGAAGACGCTCGCCGGTGGCCTTACCGTTACGACATACAAACAGCACCGTTTATTAGCCGCTTCTAAAATGTAGTGTGAATGGGCTTTCCTTTAATGTAAGCCACAATGTGCAAAGTGTCGCGCTATGGCAGTTGTGGCACTGAACCAAAGTTTGTTCAGCGTTGTGGTGACAACATGACTTCATATAACAGCCATCCTTCTTGAAGGCACACTTCTTTGATTCATTGTATCTGAAGTTGTTTCCAGCAAAACATACTGTGCTTGAGCCTATGTAAGTGCTTCTGTGAAATAGAAACGAATTGGCCGTGTAGATTAAGGTTTAAGAACCGATATTACTAGTCGCGCACTATTGTGTGCCATATATTATACATTGGTTTTGCCACGTAAAAGCAGTGAACTTGGGCCTTATTTTGTGCGTGTGGATGGGTGGGTGCAAGGTTCAAAGCCCACATTTATTGAAAAATTGTCTTCACCAGAGCCGAGACTTGTGCAACAGTGCACAGTTCACTTGAACCAAGGCCTCGCAAATGTCTCCTCAGTCTTGCATCATGCAGTCCTGTGAATATATTGGGGGCGTGAAATATGCTGTACGGCAACAAAATAATAGTTATTTTGGTCTGGGGCATTATCAAGAAGAGCTGTGCAACTACTATGCACATGTTTACTATACTTGTTCCAAGTACTTTAGTAATCATGCATTGTACAAGAAATTCTGGCCTCTTATTATGTACCCACCATCGCTTTTCAAAGACGTGTTATCTGCGGAATTGAACACTATAGAACTTCAGGTCTGAATAGCAGCCTTGAAGTAATATTAGCGAATGCAAAGAGATCTTATGTCAATTTTTAAGTTCATTAGGGCAAATGAAATTGCTACTAAATTAACATGATAACCGTCTCTTAAGGGCAACATACTAGTGATTATAATGTCATAATAGCATGTGGGAATTAACTGGCTTAACACGATCCAGTACACTGCTGATGTTATCTTTGGGGACCCAAGCCAAATATGACCATGGTGCATCTGCAGCTCATCAGACAGTAGTTCCATGTTCCAAGCCACAGGTTCGCATATCCATTCACTAATATGTTGATAATGCACTAACATTATTGGCATAACATACAGCATAATGAGTGTCTAGGAGCGTCTGAGTATAAATGTGAGGGCTGTTTCTGCGGGAGCATAAGTGGTTTAGGATTTGAATCGGGACAACGTTAAAGTAGTGTCAGAGATAAATTTGCAAGAGACGATAGTGTTAGGAGGTGTAATATAAAAACGAGCTCACAATTCCCATCCGGACCTTAATACCTGTAAGTATGTACAACCTAAGAAGGCTGTAGAAGCTCTCCCGAGATGACCAAAGTGTGCCATCCGCTTGCTGTCATGACAAGAGCAATCATTCTATTCCCAGTCACGTAAGATTGTAATGGCTGCCTTGCAATTCATCAGAATCGCAGGCTGTGCAGCTTGCAATGATGTTGCAGAATGTGTGCCTATTGGTGCAGGCTTATGTGCAGCTGTCTTTGAGATGGAAAAGCCACTGGCTTTTAATATGGCACTTCACTCGGCAAGAAGAATTAAAAGGGGTTGAGGAGCCCTTTGTTTCATCAAGTGACTGCCACACAAAGGCAGCAGACACAGAAAAGAGGGGAGAAGGAGAATGACTTTGTTTAAATCAAGCTTCCGATAGTTGTATGGGAGTCAGCAGTACTTGTAGATATGGCCACAACGATGCAATGTCAATTCCTAGTCGCCAAGAATCTGGAAATGGTTGCTGAGGTGAATTTTAAAGGATATAAAAGAAAATAAAAGTGTGAGCCCCGTAACTGTCTGCATCTGAGTGCGACTCCTCAACAGTGGCTCATGAAGGAAGGGTTAAGGAGGGATTAAAAGGGATAGGGATAGAGATGAGGACACTCGCATACAGAAAAAAGAAAGAAAAATAGAGAAAGATGGGGCCGCAGTTGAAGAAGTACGACGGTGGGGTACCACTCAGCGAGAGCTTCACGCGTCAAGAGATGGCGGAGGGCAAGCCGGAGGCCAGCGATTGCAGAGGCACAACCGTTCGGCACGGAATCCAGCGAGCGAGTCGTGAATGGTGTTGCTGTAGCTCAGCTAATATTGCTGGTGTTGTCGGTCCTTCCGCTTCTGGTTGCAAATTCCTTTGTCTCTTTCGTCCACTTTGGGGAAAGGGAAAGCTTTTGGAAAGCCAGAAAATTTTGCCCTATGGAGGGTTTGAATTTTATGCGGTAGTTTCTCATGGTGTCGAGATTTCAGCAGTGTTGGCTCAGGCTAGTCATTACTCTGCAATACTTCGATCTGTTACGCAGAATAGGAGAGATAATTGCAAACTGGTTATGCCCGTGCCTATTTTTTGCATCATTCCTTTCCTCCTGCTGCAAATCAAGGTTAGAAATATGGGGGTATCAGCTTGGTGAGAGGACTTTTGGTTGCTCTTACACTTTCGCGAGATTTTACGAGATAAGCACTAGTCTTATCAGTGCCTATGAGTAACATTTGTGGCCTACTGTCTTGGCTCATTGCAAAACTGCTGTGGCCCATCAGCAGCTGAAGGCACTTTTTTTTTTCTCAAGATGATATAGGAGTTGGTGTGTTAATATGCAATCAGAGGTACTCAACTAGTTAGAGCAAGCTGGTGCGTGATCGTAGTGACCCGCTAACAGTACTGCACATTTTATTTGCATATTGCTACAGCTAAATACAAATACAGAACTGCTTTAGCATACTGTAAAATTACACATCTGAATATTACTTTTAGGCGACGGCCCATCAGTACCTCTGGCTGACTTGATTGGCTTTTGAGGTGAAGCATGTTTTAAATAAGATTCAAGTACAGCAGTGTATGCTGCATTTACTAGCAAAATTAGTTGTCCTGTTTGTCCTGTGGCTGATGCAGCATAACCTTGGGCACTTTTGCTTCCCTAATCTCTCTTTGACCAGTGAATTGCTGAAACCTCAGAACGACCAGTTACCAGAATGAAGCCAGGATAGGCTGGCTTGCACAGTTCTATGCATATCTTTGCCATGTAGTTTTTTTTTTTAATCATTTTATATTACCCGGGAGCTGTATAGCCTTACTTCTGCATACTCGTTGCACTAACCTTCCCCCAACTTAAATCATATTTACTTTGTAGTTTTTTTTTTTCATACGTATTTTTAACTGTGGAAGTGCTAGTGGTAGCAATGGCAGATTGCTTTCGTCTGACTGAGAGGAGCCACTATTGGGACCACATTGTGTGAATGCATGCTCAAGTGACATGTTTTGCCAATCAACAGTGCCAATCTGCCGTATCAACATCAGCAAAACCTTGACGTTGCTGACATTAAAAGGCTAAAATTAGCTCAGGTTATGAAAGGGATGCGAAAAGAAATCACCATTCTTCTTGCATTAGTAAATTACATTTTTATAATACCGGGATGGTGTGATGTATGAAGCTAATTAAGAGAGATGAAATGAAAATAGCGCTAGGGTGCACTCAGTCATTCATCTGCAAAGACAAGGTATAAAAGCTCTCTGGAGATCTTGAGTTGGTAATGCAAAAGATACAAAAAGAAATATTACTTTAATTTTATATTCGATGGTTTCGTGCTGCCAATTTCCCACAGAATAGGTGCCCTGCTGAGCGACTATAAACTTTG